ACTGTAAACTGGATGGCTAAACTCCCTCGGCGTGTTATCTCTCTATTTCGGGCCGATTTCTACTATAATCCAGCCGTGCCCTCAAGCCTGGTAGAGGCTAGCAAGACCTCACACTTAATATGAATAGGATGAAAAAATATGACAAAACAGGCGAGGGCATAACAACATTCTCTCCTTAATCCATTTTCTACTTTTCATCCTAAGGTGCCAAGCTCGAGAGAAAAACAAAACGTACAAATGAGCAATGATTTAACCTTGATTCCTCTTCTGGTTTTGGCTACTTTTCATCCAATAGAATGGAAGGAAAGTTAAGGAAATGTTCTGAAACATCACCTACCTGAATGAAATAAAGACTAAGCTTTAACTTCCAACACTTAGATACAGAATTGGGACTTACCCCAAATTTCACCGGTTCATACGTGCCAGATAACTTGTGTCGCCCCCCGTCTCTGTTCAGGGTAGGTCTGTTGGCTCTTCTGTAGACCGCCTCCTTCACTCCTCTTGCACGTATGACCCGCTACTACGGTCACGTGTCTCTGACGTCACGTTCCAAGAGTAGACGGGTCCATTCCGTGAACAAGGTTGATGGAGTCAACCGAAAATTTGGGGTAAGTCCCAATTCTGTAATCTCAGTGCTGGAAGTTAAAACTTTGTCTTTATTTCATAATGATTTGTACCAACACAGATGAAATTTCATGCTATATCACCTACCTGAGTTTTCCCAGCTCCTTCTCGTTGTGTGTCCAGTGTTGGAGCATCTCCTGCACTTCCACCATAGTGACGTCAGCATCCAGCTCTCGCTGTGGTTTTGGCGGTGAAAATGGTGTGCTGAAAATAAAGGCACGTTCTACAAATACAAGTAACAACCACGGCAAAACTGCTGGAACTATTAGTAGAATCAATATCAGACCTTTGCAAAACTTTTTCCATTTAGTTTGTGGTTACGCCTAGAAAAGCCCTTCACATGACGATTACTGCATGTATGTAATGTCCACGTGATTGCGTCGGTCAGTAAGTGAGTGATCTATGAGTGAGTGAGTGAGGAAATGAGTTAGTGAGTGAGTCAGTTAGTGGGTGAAAATGAGTGACTAAATGAGTGAGAGTGGGTGAGTGAATGAGAGTGAGTGACATATGTAACTACTATGTCTATGTGTGGATGAGTGAGTGAGTGAGGGTGAGTGAGTGAGGGAGTGAGTGAGTGAGTGAGTGAGTGAGTGAGTGAGTGAGTGAGAGTGAGTGAGTGAGTAAGTGAGAGTAATATGTAACTACTATGTCTATGAGTGAGTGAGTGAGTGAATGAAAGTGGGTGGGTGGGTGAGTGAATGGGTGAGTGTGTGTGTGTGTGTGTGTGTGTGTGTGTGTGTGTGTGTGAGTGAGTGAGTGGATCATCATCATCATATCTTGTCGGCCCACTGCTCCAGCCAGTCCAGGGATTCCTGGTTTACATCGTACAGGTCTCGTGTGAGTGGATGAGTGTGAGTGAGTGAATGGGTGAGTGAGTCAGTATGTGAGTGAGTGAGTGAGTGAGTGAGTGAGTGAGTAAGTGGATGAGTGAGTGAGTGAGTGAGTCAGTATGTGAGTGAGTGTGTGTGTGTGTGTGTGTGTGTGAGTGAGTGAGTGAGTGAGTGAGTGAGTGAGTGAGTGAGTGAGTGAGTGAATCACCTGTCGGGCAGTGTTCCATGAAGGGTGTAGAACGTCCAGCTCACCGTCACCAACATGGCGGCCACTAGCAGTTTCCTGACTCCCCGGGGCCGCATGGTCACACGTTCAGCTGCTGCAGACCGTTAACGTGCTGAAGACGTGTTCTACAGGACTGGAGAATGCATTTGTTTTTGTTTTGTTTTGTTTTGTTTTTTTCGATCCCCATTAGTGCTTAAAAGCACTATTCTTCCTGGGGTCAATAAAATGAAACATAAATAACAAAACTTGTACATAATGATGATTACAAAATAATAAAGTAAGTTCAAAATCAATAGGAGAGGTCAGAGGTCGACCAAAAAAAGTACAAAATAATCTGAACATAATCCAGCGTTGTACGTAAACAACAAAGGTGCCCACAAAATTAACAAAGGTATAGATAACTTAAATCAGCTTCATGTTCCTGCAAAGTTGCATTTTTATATTCATATCATTGATACAATTCTTCTTTGCAAAACTATTTCCATGAACTTCGTTCCAGTGTACTTTTCCATGCATTCTTGCTAAGGAAAGCCTGTAGGTCTAGACAGGTTTATTCAAATTTCCATAATGGGGATCAAAAGAGCATGTTAGCAATTGTACATCTTTGACGCAATTGTCAGTATGTGTTATAACAATAATCTAAATAATAATACACAATTTAAGATAGTCATTAGTTCTCTTAAAATTCATTCAAATGTAGTTATTACCATTATCTTGCAAAATATTTGACACTTGTAATTTTTTGGTTCCTTGAGCACCGTCACACATTCACGAATTTGGCCTCCCGAAAATTCCCGGGGTGGCATTTGGCTAGTTCGCCACGCTCACTTGGTGGTTTATTCTATGGTTATCGCACCTGACCGGGGATTATACACCGCAGGGCGGGGCATTAATCCTTAAGTCGATTCGTAATCTCCCTCGTTCGTGATTCGAAATGTGTTCCGGTTTGGCCACGATCCGAATCGAAACGGAATATATTTTGCGTCCGTGATTCAAACCTTGCACCCACCTGGAAACGGTTTCACACTTATGGCCTATATCTGTTCCGACTGCTCTCGAACTTCAACCAACCTTGGTCAGCTGGTGTTCGGGAGAAGGTTGTACTAGACTGACTGTGTGACCGGAGCTTTGCCCGTACCTCTGGTCCCTGTGCGGTGACATGAGGGACGCTGTCTGTACGGCTCCTGTTCACACATGGCGGGACCTGGTGTAAATATCATCAGTGATGGTCGTCAAGTCCTGTATCCACCGGTACCAACCAGACCAAACCGCTTCTGCTTGGACCCGACTACGCGACTGTCAACTGGGTGTTACCTTCTATGTGTTCCAAAAGAAGTTAAATAGTTTCCTATGTTTACCCGTATTCCTGCGTTGACTGTCTTGTTCCGGTAGACTGACTGAATGTTTCAGGGACACATGTTAAAGGTCACACGAGTCAGTAGTGGTCCAACCGGTCAGGGACTACCACCGTGCACCGGAAGTACGTCATCAGACTGTGCTATGAGTTGGCAACGTACAGATAAGAATGGCCAAGACAGTCTTAAAGTCGTACCAATGACTTTTTAGCCTCCACCAGGCCTTCCTGAATAGGGGTTAGGTGGTGGTAGAATTCAGGAAAAAAATAGGGTTCGACTAGCTATAGCCAGGGGTAGTCTCCACCAGACTTCTTTGCATGCAGGCACTGGTCCTTCTATGGCCGGCTAACTCCCCTCGCCATTCTATCCCCTTTTAGACCGGTTTCTACTATTTATTCAGCCTGCAAAGGAGTTTGGTAGAGACAGTAGGACCAGCCGTGGTCAGCGTGAGAGGGTCTGTTGTGATAATGGCCAATATCAGTTATAAATGTCATAAATATCCCAATATCGGGTAAGTTTTTTTTTTAATAATTTCCAACATGTAATTGTTGCCATGTAGAAATAACCCCCTTTAGGATAATGGTTTGATCCGATGTACGCATGCGTACTGCGCAGTTGGTTTGAGAGAACAAAGAATACACTCAGTCGTCTCTATGCTCTGGCTTCGCTGGTCGTAATTGCGTTGTCATCTGGAACAGGAACTGTGATCTGGAACGAGGATTGGTAGGGTAACATTTGGAGGTTCTACCGAGATCCTATTTCCTGGAGTAACGGAGCGGATGAAGCGATTGCGACGAAGAAACTGCCACTGCCGCCGGAGTGAGAGAGAAAAGTTCGCGCCAAAAGTGGTCACGGGACAAAAGGTCAGAGAGGTCAAATCATCGTAAACAAAACAAAGTTCAAGGGTTAACAAGATGGCGCCGCGGTTGTAAGGGGGAGGGCGACTGCAGTATTGTTGCTACGAAAGAGAGGTTGAAAGTCGGTGCGCTGAATCAAGATTACGGTAGTTTTAGAGGGATATTTGAGCACTACAAGAGAACTATGGCGGAAGGAGGAAAAGGCGCACAGAACAGTAGTAGTGACGATAAAACATCAGGTCCTCAGACGCCGGAGGTGACGATGAAAAACCTAGTTGATGCCACCACGAACCTGGCACGAGTAGTAGACGGTTGTTTCACTGGGATAGAGCGCTTGGGAGAGAGACTGGCCACTTTGGAGGGTGAATCTGCTGGAGAAGGAAGCCACACTGTAAGAAGAGCACTCTGGCAGTCGGAGAAGAAGTCAATGTGGAAGGTGGATAGCAGCAAGGGCAACCAACAAGCAGGGTCCAACCACAAGAAGGAGTTCAAGATAACAGGACAGGTGGGGCAGCTGAGATTTCAGTCCCTCACATATCAAATCAAGAGTGGTTTGAGGCAGGGATATACAGAGGAGGAGGTGGTAGATGCAGTAATCAGGGCGATACCAGCCGGGTCACCTCTTCGGACTTACCTGGAAGGGAAAGAACAGTTGAACCTCACATTGGTCGAACAGGTGATAAGAGCCCATGGATTGGAGGAAACTGCTACCGACCTGTACCGTAAGTTAAGCATCGGATGCCAAGAAGAAGGGGAGTCTTCACAAGGCTTTGTCACAAGGATGATGGGGCTGAGAGATAAGGTGGTAGAAGCGTCAAAGGAAGAAGATGGACTATATGACGCCAAATTGGTCCAGGCGATGTTCCTCCGTTCGGTACAAACAGGCCTAAGAGACAACAACATCAGAATGGAAATGAAGCCGCACCTGGTAGCCAACTCCAACAGTAGCGACATCCTACTGTTGGAGAAGTTGAGCCGAGCCATCGTGGACCAGAAAGAACGGGACGAAAAGCTCGCATCAACAAGCTCACCTCAACAAGCTCACGTCAACAAGGTCACTGTAACAAGCCCGCGGTGCAACCAATGTACACAACAGGGGATGGAGCTGTGCCGTCATTGTTTCAGGTGTGGGGGAAACAACCACATCGCTCGGTGGTGCCGAACACCAAACAAGAACCAGGGAAACGCTTCAGGGGCACCCCAAGGGGACGGGGGGTCGGCCCTAGGCAGCTCACAACCGTCCCAGAAACGACAACAACAAACAACACCAAATAATAACAATCAACAGCCCTCGGTAACAACAACTAACAACAAACAACAACAACAAACAGCAACAGCAAACAACAATCAACAGCAATCGGTTCACGTCAACGCCATGACTGCGTCACATCTAACACCAAAACAAAGAACTAAAATAACAAAGTTAGTCGGGAATCGGTGCCTGGTGTCGTGTAAGATGGATGACCAGCCAGTCCTGGCATTATGGGACACCGGTGCACAAGTGAGTATCATGACAGATACGTGGAGAGAGAAGAATCGACCAGAGATCAAGGTCAGACCAGTAATAGAGATACTTGAGGACACAGCAAGCCTCAACTTACAGGCGGCAAATGGTACAGAGATCCCATACAGTGGATGGGTAGAGGTCAGTTTTAAACTAAGCGAAGATGACTCACCAGCTATCTCTGTGCCATTTCTGACAACCAACAGCCCTAGCCAGGACCATCCGATAATTGGATACAACGTCATCGAAGAAATCCAAAAGCGCTGTGGGAGTGACTCTGCCCTGCTGTCGAGGGCGCTGCCGGTTCGGCCACAGAGGGCGGCGGCCCTGGTTAACTTGATAGAAGAGTTCAGCGTCCCGAACCCGGCAGGAGTGCGGGCCGGCAGGAAGAGAGTTCGGCTACCACGAGGGGCAACAGTTCAAGTTAGGTGCAGGATTCCTCGTGGCTCAGTGGAGGAGAAACAGATCATGCTGTTTGAACCAGATGAAGCCGGTGATTGGCCCACGGGCCTGGAGGTGGGACCGGCACTCATCCCAGTTAACTCAACGGGGATGATCAAGGTGCCTGTAACTAATTCCAACCAATATGATGTCTATCTGCCGGCAAAGACAGTGTTGGGTCGAGCTGAACCAATACGATCAGCAGTACCGGTTGAGCTGAGGAGAGTGCCTGAGGGATCTCAACACCCAACAACTGAGGACAGGAGACCAGTGAGCGAAGAACCACAGCAAACACCACAGCAAGCTCAAGTAAACACGGTTCAGGCAGAAGATGAGTTGTGGGACCCTCCAGTTGACCTGTCACACTTGAGCGAGGAGCAGAGGAAGATTGTGAAACAGATGCTCCGGGAGGAATCAGGTGCATTTTCTCGAGATGAGTCTGATATCGGCAGTATTGAAGGTCTCAAGCTGAAACTCAACTTGACAGACACAGAGCCAGTGCAAAGGAATTACGTCTCCATCCCAGCACCTCTGTATAAAGAAGTGAGGGAGTATATTGAGGACCTCATCAACCAGGGGTGGATTACCAAATCAAAGTCACCCTACTCCTCTCCGATGGTATGCGTTCGAAAGAAGGATGGGAGCATGAGGCTCTGCATTGACTACCGCGCCTTGAACGAGAGACA